GATTAGCCCACTAGCTCATATGAACATATGAGCCTAACGGTCCAGATTGAATCTGAGCTGATCTGACGATCACGACTTCATTTTGTATTTTAATTTTAATTTTTTTATACAAATCTAAATAACTTAAAATTTTACCTGTGTATTCTTCAAAAATAGGAAAATCTAATAGAATATCAAAAACATTATTTGCAAGAAATAAATTGATCAAAATACCTCTGAAAAATTTTAGGGGTATTTTGATTAATTTATTTTTTTATGAATTATTTTTTAAATATTTTTATTAGGTGCACCTTGATAAGAAGAATTGACGACTAAAATTTTAAGTTAATTGGATTTGTAGAAAAAATTAAAATTAAAATACGAAATAAGGTCGTGACCGTCAGATTGGCCCCAGATTCAATCTGGACAGTTGGACTTATATGTTCATATGAACTAGTGGGCTAATCTCAACATTATTCCACACACACATATGTATATATATAAAGGGAGTTTTAGGGAGAAACCTAGCCCGGACCAATAACATCCCATAACTAGTTCAGTCTTGACCGATTTCCATTTGGACCGATGATCCAAATTAGAAATTACCTGATTTTAGAATACCGGTTCAGTGAAATTGGTTTAATTTTCTTGAACTTCCAGCATGGGACCAATTATGATGATCAAAAGGAGTACCAAAGTAATGGCGGCCATTAGTGGCAGTCATTTTAGCTGGCATTTATTGATTTAAATTCCCACAAGGTTTTTCTGGGTACATTAAAGTCCACCTTTTTTGCTTGCAAGAATTTTCTCTCATATTATCAGGACATATTTCCAAAATTGTTCACATGGCCCCTCAATTCTACATAAGATCTCTTCTATGTGGGGGTTTTCTTTTGGCATGTTCCTGTTTTTTTTTATACACCCAGAATATTTCTTAATTACGAGGTTGGTTCTCTTGTTAAAAGTAGTGTTCATCACGATTCGTTGGTGATCACCAACTTTGCTTATTTGTTTACTTATTTTTTCTACTCTTGTACTTTTTTCTTGGAAGTCAGTAAAAATGTTAACATTAAATAAAAAAAATCGCTGAATTCTTTGGTAAGAAGAAACATATGATGACTTTTCTCCATTGCTAATTGGGCAAGCACCTCAAAGTAAAAAGTTTGTTGAAATGCCATTTTCAATCTTCTTCTCCTCAATATAATCAACTTGTCTAATCATTGAACCTTTCAAAAAATGACATTTATCCGGAGTAATCACCCTTATATTCAACTTTGACATTTCTCAATCACTTGCAATGCCCATTCATATTTTAAGTTAAACCTTCCTGAGAAATACAAATCGGTGGATGACAATGAATTGCCTTGGTTAAAAGTAACCTTTTTAGGAGGGCCCAAAAGGTTGATTAGGCTAAAAAGATTATATCCCAATTATAATATATTATTATATAAAATATATATTATATATAGAAAATAATTGGTCGGGGTCGATCGAATTATTTATTGTTTGGATCTGGACCCCACCAAACCCAACTCTCGAGTCCATACATTTGGAACTGCAAATGACCTCGGCAGTCCAAAAGTTAGCCCTGAGCCCATAACCGGTTATGGTCGACCCATCGGGTTCACCGATTGACACTACCTAATTGACAACTCTAGAAGTTCGAAAGGAAACTAATAACATCAATAGATGATAATTTTCAAATAAAACCATTTGGATTTTGAGTTCACTGAACATTTAGATATTTTCCTCAAAAAATTGGATGATTCTTGTGCAATCTTTGAGATGTCATTTTTTAAACACGTAGAGAGTGCAAGGTAATTTTTTTTTTCATTTGAGGCTGGTCACTGTATTCTAAAGATTAAATCCGTAAAATTTGGGTCTAAAATATATTTATGTCATGAGTTTTCGAGGGAGTAGATGGACAATGTACTTCGACACGGGTATTAGAACTTATGGCTTGATTAGTTTTACTCGAACGTAATAAATATGTTATATTGTTATCAACTTATCACTAATCATCTGATCTTAGTTGAACGGCATCAATCTCTAAACACAAACTAATTATATATTCCATTTAAGGCTTGCATGTTTTTTCTCAATTGAGAATAATTTTAGCCCTATAAATCCAAATATGATCGCGTCAATCTTGATACTGTTATGATAGTACATAGGTACATACGTTCTTGACTCAATGGCAATAGACCCGGAAAGTTATTGGACCTGGACTCGACTTAAAAAACATAAAATTATATATATATATATATAATATTTTTAAATGTTGTGTTATATATATACTTGTATTATTTAAATATCATGATTAAAAATATGTAATTACATTTAATGTTCAGGTCTAATATTTGGACCCATACCCAACCTATCAGGTCCAATTCTTAGACTCATACTTAGACTTGGGTCCGGGACATCAGGTCCCGAGTTGGGTCCGGGTCCATTGCCCTCCCTAACAGGGATAGTGCGCGTTTCAACTTGCACTGATGTCGAATTTTATGGAATTTGATTGAATATCTTATCTTTAATTTGAAGGTAAAATCATTTTCTTAAAAATCGATGAAAACTGTTGAAATTTTGCTATGTAACTTTAATTAGGTAAATTTCTATGGTATGATTTGAGCAATTTTCAAGAATAGGAAGTCTTTGAGGTCGCGAGATAGTGGCCACCCAGTATTTTAAACCCTTCGATCCAGATCAGAATTAGCTAATAAAATATGGGAATCCGCTACGAATGAATTGTATATGAAAGGATATCAATACCAACCCGATTCCCTCCTAAAAATCCCCTCTTCATGTTTATTTTTTTTATTTAATTTTATTCTACCTAATATTGTTTTTAGACCCCTCACCCCATCCTTCCCCTCCCCTCAAAACCAACCCACCAACCCCACCCCCACCCCCACGCCCATCCCTTCAAGAAAAAAACAAAAAAAAGGGAAAATCCCCCCAAAGGATAAACCCAATTTTTTAGTGATCTTTTTCATATTTTTAGATTGTCAAGTTGGACAATTTTGGATCATCAGTATAACGATTCGACATGGATATGTGGAAATCTTTTTATCGAAGGATCAGAACAAAATCGGTCCGGATCTCCTGCAGGAATGGTTTGGAAGATCCAAAAATAGTGGTATTTGCTAACAACAACATAATGGAGGCAGAATGGATGATCCACCCCAGTTATTTGAGTTTTCAAACTATTTTTTGGAGAACTTTTTAATATTTTTTAAATTACTAATTTGGACAGTTTTGGATCAGCAGTAAGAGGATTCGACATGGATATGTGGAATGGATGATCCACCCCTAAGTATTTGAGTTTTCAAACTATTTTTTTTTTATTTTTTAAAATCTAGACCAGCTTAATTAGACCAAACCCTCAGGTTCACTGGTATTCACATGGGAGAGAGATAGGTGGAGTCAAATGTTTTTTTTTTTTTTTGTCGGTAGTGGTGAGGCTTTGTATGTTTAGAGAGAGAGATTTCCAGCACAACCAAGTTCTAAGAGAGAGAGAGGTTTAAAAAAAGAAGAGAGAGGAGGTTCCAAAGTTTCAAGCACAATGAGTTTTGGTCCGAGTCAACGTTAGGGTCTTGTCTTGTGTATTCAGAGACAGATTGAACGAGCACAAGACCTTCGACGTTTCCACGAGGGAGAGGGAGAGGGAGAGGGAGAGGGAGACAACCCGCTAAATTTTTGCAACCCGAATCGTTAGTTTTAAGGGTAGCAATGGGCTTTTCTTGGGCCGGGCCACCGACACCCTAGTCTAGCCCCTATCCCCATAGGGCACGTTTAGGTCTGCCCCTAGCCTTGTCAATGCTGGGCTTGGCTGCACCAAGCTAGCCTTGGCCCTACTCTTGCTCTAAAATTCATTATCTAGTCCCTAGTTTTTAAAGGCTGGGCTGAGTTGTCAACCGGCCTTAGTTACTTTCATCGCATACAGTAACATTATTTATTTTATTATAAAACATTATAATTATTTTTAACTATTAGATGTCAAATTGGATCGCACTGGATGTTCTACATTACTCTTAAAAATATCAAATTTAAAATCTAATGCACTGATTGAAATGTACATTGTATGATCATTCAGAGCATATAGAATTGTGCATACCTAAGGGTACAAAATTATCAGTTTCTCTCTCGACTTTGTAATCACTTCCCTCTCGACCTCTTACATCTTTCCAATTTCACAACCGACGGCTGAGATTCCTCTCTTTTCTCATGTGCAAATGGTCCTGCACTATACAATTGTAAAAATGCGGTCCAACCCGTATGAAACAATTTTCCTTTTTCAATTGCCTAAATAAAATAAGACGCGGTCTGATGATCAAGATATCTAGAGAGAGAGAGAGAGAGGGTTTCTGTTTCTCTCTCTAGCTTTAGAGAGTGAATGTTGTTTCTCTCTCCTCAGATCGCATTTGAAGCAGGTGCCACGCTTGTTGGGCGTATTTCTAACGCCGATGCTTTCTGTTCCTATTCAACCCAAGGTCTTTCGCCCTCAAATTTCCCTTTTCTGTTAATGGTGAGTCTTCGCGCTAAAATTCCCTCTAATTTAGTGTTTTCTTTTTACTTTTCTTTCACTGTTGTCGAGCTCTTTGTTCGTGTTCTTTTTGTTGTTGAATTTCTTCTATTTAAACTCCAAATTTAGTGTGAAAATCTTGTTTGAATATTATAGTTCTGAATTCTCTGTAAGTAGTCAAAATTTGAATTCGGAGATTGATGGGTCATTGATTTCGTTTAATAACCGTTGTTTTGTGGTCCTTTTGGTTGTATTTTCTGGTTTCTTTCCGTTCTTTTCCCTTCAAGTTCAGCTGCAACAGGACAATTTCATTTTAGGGTTTTTCATTTACCATTTTGAAGACTCGCTCAGCTTCTTTAGAGGGGCTTTTTTCATGTGAGTTTCTTGCGTTTTTTAAACTCCAAGTCTTTTTACTGCAAGAATTCGACCATTCTTCTGTTTTGTTTATAAACCAATGTGTTATTGTAAACACATTTCTCTTTCTGCCAAATTCCCCCTTCCTTTGTGTTAATTTTTAGCTTAACAGATTGGCATGATATTCTGCAATGAGGGGTTTATTTCAGGTAAAATGATGCTTTAGAATCATGGCCACGCATTTCTTATGTTCATGTGAGTTTCTCCCGTTTTTGAAAATCCAAGTCTCTTTACTGCAAGAATTTGATCATTCTTCTGTTTTGTTTATATAGCAATGTGTTATTGAAATCCCATGCCTCTTTCTACCCAATTCCCCCTTCCTTTGTGTTAATTTTCAGCTTAACAGACTGGCATGATATTCTGAAAGAAGGGGTTTATTTAAAGTAAAATGATGCTTTAGAATCATGGCCATGCATTTCCTGTTTTATTTGTTATTTGGACTTTCTTTTTAATTATTGGGGTTTTTCCTCTAAATTTGTTCAGGAATTATAGGAAAACCTTGCTACTTTTTAATGGCAATGTGATTACTTTAATGTTTCTTTTCCCAGACTTTCTATAGCTGAAGCTTGGTATCTGATATAGGGTTCAGTTCATGTGATGATGCCAGATGAAAAGGTCGGTGATCAGGAGAAGCCAGATCAGGGGTAAAGGAACTTTCTGTCTTAACTGTAAAGGAGTTTTAAGCCTGTCATGTGTGTGCACGTGTGTGCGTGTGTGATGCCCTCTTGAGATCAAGGTTCACCCTTTCCAGGACTAATCCAGTCATGGAGGACTCTACGGCTATGACTATTGAGTTTTTGCGAGCAAGATTGCAGTCCGAGAGATCTTTGTCAAAATCGGCTAGAGACAAGGCTGTTGAACTGGCTAAAAGGGTTAGCCTCTCTATCTCTCTCTCTCTTTCGTACTTCAGCATTACACATCTCTCTCATACAAGAAATGCCATGGAGTTGTGGATATGGCTTGATTATTTTCTTTACTAAGTTTTGACCAACTAAACATGGGGTTAATCCAAATAGACTGTTTAGATCTGGTTTTGGCTATTGGATTTCTCAAACTTAGACCCCCCACCAAAAAAAAAAAAGAAAACAAAAAGAGAAAGGGGTAATGGGTTTTGTTTGCTTTAAATTTGAACTAATTTATGGATCCAATTTTCCTCAATTTCATAAGCTCAAGTATGTGCTAATCTTGTTGCAATGTGAAGCTCACAGTTGCTGATTTTATTGAAAATGGTGCTCTTAAAACTTTGAGTTAAAGCAATGTCTTCGTGTAATTTTGTCTCTTGATTCAGATGGTCAAGAAATCAAATGCATTCTGTGTTTATATATCACGTGAATTCTCCTAGTTTACATTCTCAAACATGAATGATCCCAATTATCACATGCTTCCATCCTAATCATGTCCCAATTTAGGTCTCAGAACTTGAGAAGCAGCTAGAGATCGTTCGAAGTGAGAAAGAGAGTGCAGAGAATGCCACTCAAGCTGTTCTTGAAGTACTTGACAGTCTTGAAGTCGTAAATATTTCTGATAAATCTGATTCAGACATGGAGCAAGATGGAAATATCCATGAATCGAAAGCTAGTAGTGTTACTTCTGCCAGGGATAACTCCATAAATGGTGGTGAGGATGAGGGAAATTCCACAACCTCGAGATTAAGAAGCGATGGTGATGATGAAATGTCGAGTTCGGAGGTTGATACAGGCAAGGTTGAAGCTTCACAATTTCTGCAGAAAACCTTATCTTGGAGAGGACGTGATGATACATGTAACTCTAAGGGAAATTTTTATAAGAAGACCCCTGATCAAGCAGCTCGGCTTAAGTATAGTAGCATCATAGTTGTTCGGGATTCTCCCAAAAGGCGTTTTGGTAAGTCGTGCCGCCAGATAAAAAGGAGGTAAGCAAGGTCAGTTGATCGAATTTCAGTTTGTTGCAGTTTTTAAATGAACATTTGACCAAAGCCTTTGTGAAGAACAAAAATATGTTTTTGAAAATGAAAAGGTGTTAAAACTTTGAACCTGGACAGAAATTGGGCTGATTTGAAGATTGCAAATCCATTATTTTTCAAATCTTATATATTTTGTATGTCTTGGTCTAGCAGCCAATTATTGTGTGTGGGGCAGAGACAATCCATAATCAACATGTGTATTGATTACGAAATCCTCTTGTGGATATCGTAGTTTTTTCAAATGATATTTCCTCCAAATAACCTTACTGAGATGCGGATGAAATCCCCAAATTTAAATGAAATTCATCAAAATTTGACCAAATTTTTTGAACTTAGAATTAACTTTATCGAAATCTCTTGTTTGGTTTTGTTTCTTCAATCCTTAATCTAGTAGTATCTTCTATCTGCTGTCCAGGTGCAACTTTCGGCTGAGACACATGAAAATTCCTTGCATTTTAACTTGAAAAAAAAAACCCTTGAGTTTTAATAATATATACATAAATCTGTTGTGGCCATTGTGGTTTGGTCTTTCTTCAAACCTCACTCTGGTTCTATATTAAGCTGTTCCATTATCCCCATTTGAACGTTAGCTGAGATTCACCAAATTTCAGCCACATCTCGCCACAATTCTTATTATCAGTATGAAATCTCTTTCATATTACTTGTCGATGAAAGAAGGATCTCATTTTATTCTCCTCCTGCTTTTAGTTTTCTTTTAAGCCACTGTTTGGTTTTCTCTTGCTGTATGTTCCCCAGAGTACCCATTTCTCATCTCTAGGTTTGGCCAAAAGAATTCATTGAATTATACATGATTGGCTTGGAATCTCCTAGTGCTTTTATATTTTGCCTTTCTTTTATGATTATTCTTTCATACTTTTTCTTTCTTTGAGTCTGACTCTAGTATTGGACCCCATTACTCATATCACAAATGTTCTTGGTACCAGATCAGCTTCTGCATATGTGCCAGATGAATCCTCCCTCCTTAGTGATCAAGGATTAGGAGGAGATGTTTCAAAGTGTATGGGAGTTAAATCTGAGATCTTAGATATCAGTCATGGATGTATTAAAGAGAATGCTGCCTTGGTTGATCGGCAACTCTATGTAACCAAGGAGACCATGTCTGGGCAAACCTCAGGTGAAGAGGGTGCGGCCAAAGTGCACCCCGAAAGTGCATGCTTAATAGAAGATCAGAGAGAAAAAATTGACCCAACGAGTAGTCCTTATAGAAGTGAGGGAGATATTAATATGGACGGAGCATTGGAGAGGATTTCCCAACTCGTTAATCGTTATAAAGCCGAAGAGAGTGCCCAAAGAGAATGGGAAGAGAGACAAGTCAATAGTCTAACTACGGTATGGTTTCATATCTTGTTATTGTTATGGTGATTTAAGGAAAGTATACTGCTACAATTCAGTGGGCTAGTGCATGTTCATAGTCCATTTTATTCATCATCATATTCGATGGGATGGTGCTGGAGAGAGAGTGGGACACTATTGGGTTCATGTCTTGTTACCCAGTCCCACACTCTCCGTGTTGCAATCCATCATTTCATTGACAGTGATGATCTCAATGGACACTGGTTTTCCATATCCCATTTGGATTACAGTAAAAAAAATTATTTTTTATTTTACTGGCGAAGTAGGGTATTTTATAATTGCTTGTACATGCATGCTGCACAAAAATGCAAAGACCATGTATGAATATGTTGCTATTTCAGTTTGAATGGCTTCCTCATAAGCCTCATAATCACTATTGAGTTAACTGATGAAATATAGGCGGGGAGACTTTATTTTTCTTTGGTTCTTTACTTCTATTAATGCATGCATTTAGTATTAGAAAAAAAAAAATGTTCGCTTTTTACCTTTTTCTTTCTTGGGGTGATTTATTGGGACACCATCTAAGAGCTTCCTCTTGTCTCTATGATTGTCAGGATATTCCCATGAATGCATAGCATTTCTTATTTTTAAGCTAACAAACTGTTTGTATCTGTTGATGCACAGGGTTCTTCCATGCCTGAGAGCCAATCAGATGCCGTCCAAGAAAAGATTGATGGACATAATGAACAGGAACCGGCAACTCCACCTCAAGAGAACTTAGTCAAGATTGATAAAGAGAAGCAGGAGCAAGATTGTGCGACTTTACCCCAAAGCAACTCCTCAGTGATTGATACAATAAAGAAGCAAGAATCTAGTGAAGTTGATTGCAGGAGAGTTCACAGTGGGAACCATTTTGTAGGAGCATCCTCCAGGGAACAAGGAGATTTTATGAGAGCTTCTTTAAAGGAAGATGTGTTAGTGGCTCTTGCACAGGCTAAGTTGACAATAAAACACGAACTCGATAGAGCCCAGCCTTCAAATGGAGGGGCCATTGTACCCGTTGCAGGCCCTGGTGTTCAGAGAAGCAGTGAAGCTATCAGCTCCATGGAGTTTCCCCTGAACTGTAGTGGCCTTTTCAGACTACCTCCTGATCCAAGACCTGAAGCTTTTCCTAGTCAAGTGAGCTCTTCAAGGAATTATCTTGATACGAGTTCGAATTTTTCAAGGCCAGAACCTATGACCAATCGTTATCCTGAGATAGTTCCGAGTTTCTCTAGACCGGAGCTTATGGCCAGTAGATATCCTGATCTGGGTTCTGGTATTTTGAGGTCAGAGCGCTCTTTTGATCGATATCCTGATCTGGGTTCTGGGTTTTCGGGTTCAGATCGCTCTTTTGATCGATATTCTGATAGCAGTTCAGGTTTTTCAAGGTCGGTGCCTTATTTTGATCCATATTATGCTATGAATACAAAATTTTTTAGTGCAGAACGAGATTTTGATCGATATTCTGGTTCAAGTTTGGGTTTCTTAAGATCAGAGCATGGTGGTGCTCAATATCCTGATATGGGTATGAATCTCATGACGCCAGCCCGTCCAACTGATCGATATACCAATATGAATTTGGGTTTCAAGCCTCCAATGCCTTCTGGAAGCAGGTTTCCCAATAGTGTTTCAGATACAGAAGCCAGAATGGCTACTACTAGTCGTAACCATCCTAACAATGATACAAAGACTAGTAGGCCCTCTGGGAATATGCACTCCTATGCGAATCTTTCTCCGAATATAAACAGTGAGATTTCTACTAGAGAGAGAAGCATGTTTACACAAACAGATATGATGGCTAGAAGTGACCAATCTTCTACTAGAAAGAGAGACATGTTTCCAAAGGATGAGATGTTGGCTAAGACTGACCAATCTTCAATGCTGTCTGGAACCAGGTTTCCCTATAGTGGTTCAGATATAGAAGCCAGAATGGCTACTACTAGTCATAACCATCCTTACCATGATACAATAACTGGTAAACCCTCTGGGAATATCCACTCCTATGCGAATCTTTCTCCGAATATAAATAGTGAGATTTCTACTAGAGAGAGAAGCATGTTTCCACAAACAGCTATGATGGCTACAAGTGACCAATGTTATACTAGAGAGAGAGACATGTTTCTAAAGGATGAGATGTTAGCTAAGGCTGACCAATCTTTGAACTCATCTCAGAATATGAGAAATGAGATGCCCCTTGGTGATCGGTTTTCCTTTTGGGGTGGGAGGAATGGGCCTACTGGACAAGGCTAATTAGCCCTCTAGCTCTGAAGACCAGTGTTATGGTGCCATTTCTTGTCTTCTTCCACACACAGGACATTTCTTCTTTTTTTTCTTCTGGTGGGAAACAGTAATACTTGGTTTCCGAAACCGGGTTGTAGTATATTGGCTTGGGGTATGTATATCTTTCTTCTTTAGATCCTTTCTGTGGATGGGAATTTCTGGTTTTGGAGCAAAGTTATGTTGTCGGCTCATAAGTTTGGCATATCTTGTGGAGCATTTTGATTGAATGGGAATTGTTTACTTTTAGCAACGAACAAGTTGTTGGATCTGTTAGCTCCTTATGCAATTAGGTAACAAATTAATGTCCTTGAGTTTTCTAGAGGCCTTTATCTCTCTTGTTTGATAAAGTGTGAATTCTAACATGCCTCTTCACGACGGCTTGTCCTGCTGTCATGGTGGTGTGTTGTTCATACGTGTCGATGTCTCGGGTTTGTAGCCCAGCTTGACTGATGCCTTCTCGATTTAAGAACCCTCTCCCATTATGATCATCCAAGTTTTCTCATCCTCTATTTAGGCCCCATTCCCCATTTGTATCTACTTCATTCAGGCCACTTCCACAATCAGATGATCTAGATTTTCTTCTACTCTCCAAACCACTACTTTGTTGAACATGTCTGTGTTTCACTATCAGTAGTAGCCCATGTTGTCGAACTTCTGTGGCATGTGAGTTATGTGTTTGACCTGAGGCTGGCAATAGGCCAGGTCTCACTCGCTAGAATCCTGTCCCAGGCTCTTCCTTTCAATTTGACCAGCCTGGGCCATGATTTGCCCAATCCGAGTCCAGGCCAATGAAGCACTTATACTGGTCTAGTGCTGGGCTTAGCTGGGTTGGGCCGCTCTATGTGCGCTTTTGTTTGTTGAATGTTCATGCCACTCCTTGCACACTTAAAGACTGTCAATAACTGATTTGCGGATATGAACCCAACTACCGGTCAATCAATGATGCAGCAACTAAGGGCTAGTGCGATACTCTGCGCGGTTAAGCTAAGGGCCTGTTTGGAAGGACTGCTCTCTATTATTGTTTTCTTCTGCTGTGAGGGATGTTAACTCATCTCATTTGCATTCATGACTTTTTGGAAATATTCTTGTGTGGAAAACGCTACCATATAGTGGCCATTTGGTAATCAATGTTGGGAAGCTTTTTATTCTGTGATAATGAAAGGGAGAATATCCATTTTGGGGTGGGTTTAGGGGTAGGAGAATATCCATTTTGGGGTGGGTTTAGGGGTAGGAGAAATCCATTTTGGGGTGGGTTTAGGGGTAGGGACAGGGCCCTAGAACAATTTACATTTAGGTCCATGACTTTCGATAGGTAACATTCATTACGAATGCTCATCCCTGAAACACAATTCCTGGAACCATAGCAACTGCTCATCCCTCAATAGATCCTAGAAAGTGTTGAAAGGGAAGTGATAGCAAACTGTCTGGTACAGGGCCTTTGTCTTTGTTTAGAGATAGTGTTTAATTTTTTTTATTGTAAAACAACCGCTCCAACCAGGCACTAGAGCTAGAGAGTTTCAAAAAGAGAATAGGTGAAGTATCCATGGTGGATCTTAATAAAAACTTTACACTTTTCTATCTTGTTTGAATTTTATTTCTATTAGGTTTGAGCTTTTTTTGAAGCATTTTTTTGGAAGTGGCTAATTATGACGACTTCCATGGCCTCATTATCTTGGTTTGGGACCCAGGATTTTAAGACCCTAGAGGGGTATTAATCTTTATTGGAAGTTGGCCATGGCATGGAATATTCATGTGCCTTCTTTCGTCCACCTTCCCGTAACCATTATTACAAATAGATTTCTTCCATTATTTTTAAGTAATCCATGTCATGATGGATGTTCTCAATTAGATAAACCACACCCATCCCACTTGGATCCTGGATGATATGAGGAAGGGACCTTGGTGTTTAGAAGAAGTGGAATTAGATAGAGGTCTCAAAAACGTTTTTAGAGAATTGAGAGTCCTATTCAATCAATGGAAACAAGAAAATGGTGTAACTTGGATATAGTCGAGTTTTCATGGGACCAATTGGACCACAGTTATCAACATTGGACTAAACCAACGGGTTTGACGGATGGATTGGTACCTCGGCCGATGTGTTTCAAAGCAAAAACTAGTTTCACTAAAAGCCACTTAAAACCAATTAAACAATATTGGGTAAATTCTATTCTTATTTTTTACTTGTTTTGGCTTATCGGATCGGATCCACCGCTTACAATAGCTAAAGTACATGGGTAAAGTTATTTTGTGATTTAAATTATTTTTTGTATTTTTTTATTTTATAAAAGAATAGAGTAGCTAGTTTTTTTGTGATTAAATTATTATTATTATTATATTTTATAAAAGACTAGATCAAATAATTTGATAAGTAGTCATATCAATTTTGACTAGACGATTCAATGGTCGGTTGGAATCATGATAACACTGGATTGGACAATGTAAAATTTGTTCCCTCCTTAAGAGATTCCTAAGATAACTTCGTCCTCGTAACTAGTCTATCGAATGTCTTGGTAATGAGTGAACTTATTTAAAACATTGAGAGTGGACATAAAGTGTGGTAAGCTTTTTATGCTTCCCCTACAATATAAACCGAATATATTTCCCCTTATCCAACCGTTCATTCTGAATGGAGGGCTAGATTGTCCCAATCACAATGTCATGTCACTACACCATTTTATTTATAATTTTTTTCTATAAAATATTTTGGCACTAAATTTTGAGTGTCCAATTCTCTATTAAACTCGTACTTACGAAAAATATAAAACAAATATTCCCAATAAATTAAAATGACCAAAATACCCCTTAAATTTTTAGGGGTATTTTGGTCATTATTTTATCAAAAAAATATTTTTAATATTTTTTGTAATTGCGTCTCGAGGAGAAGATGCCACATACCAAATTTCATATTCGTACAATTTATATAAAAACAATTAAAATAAAAATACTCTGAAGCATCAGATTTAATATTAAAAAGTGAGTGGCTCATTTGATCAAAATTGGACAACTGAATGGTAGGGGAAGCATAGATCTTCCATGTTTCCAAAGTATTTTTGTGTGTAAAACGTGTAATATTAAAAATATAATACATGCACATGTACACATGTGCATGTGTCACCCACACACACAATAACAGGATTTTGTTTCGACGAGTCCTAGATTTTATGAAATCAAAGTAAAGCCTATGCCCAAATCCTCGTGTGGGAAACATTTTTGGCATCGGAAATTTTCATGATGGCTCTAAAATCAATTTTCAATACCGATTATAAAATTTGAAGTTAAAAAAATATTATAAATCTTGAGTGGATGGTTTTAGATAATGTGTTACAATATACACTTTTTAGGGTTTAAAATCCTAATTCTTTTTTCACAATCACATTATTAAGACTGAGATGATTGATTTAAAGGTTTTTCAACACCTACAATTTTTTATAAATTTTGAGGTGATGTTTTATTTATTTTAATAAAACTGCAGCTATATCAAAATATTTTCCTTAATTTAATAGAGAGAGAGAGATTTGCGCTGTTAAAGGGCTAGAGAGAGAGGTGCTCATCAAATGGGGAGAGAGAGAGAGATAGTAAGAGGGAGATGCTCACAAAATCGGGTTCCAATTTCCAAGGGAGCTAGACCACTCGTGCTTTTAGGTCTTGCGAGGGACTGAATGAAAGTTGAATTTCCATGAAAATAATTTTTTATTATTCGAAATTGTCGAATATGCCTGGTAGCAAAGCACATACACCTTTTTAAAGTGTTATTTTCTCACTACAAAGTGGAGTCCACCTCTAACCCACCACTTTTTCCACTTCTCACAAATCTTATTTACTCAACAAATTATTGTCCCTGTCACTCTTTAGACAGAGAGAGAGAGAGGAAGAGAGAGAGAGATATGAACAGTTCAGACTTCAAAGAGAGTGATCTGAGCAGTTCACAAAACAATGAGAGATGAAACTTATGCATAGTGGACATAGCATGTGTAAATATACAATAAAACCGTTTATTTTTTATACAAAATTTTTATAAACAACCGTAATAGTTAGATGTGAAATATGACATAACATAATTTCATCAATGTATACCATTCACTATGGCTGAGTGCCATTTTGCACAATAATAAAATTTATATAAAGCGCATGCAAATAGTATGTTACACACTGATACTAATATATTAAAAGGAAAAAGAGGAAAAAAAAAGAAGGGTTCATTTGTTTAGTATTTCAGGACATATTTTAGTGGTTCAAACCTTTGACCTCCTTCACCTAAAATGACACATATACACATAAACGAATGAGGATTGTATACAATAAAAAATTGGGATTGTCTACGAAGACACTATTTATTTTTGGAAAAAATTTATATAAGGTTGCAACTTTAAAATGTAGAATTACATATGCACCTCAAACATCCATCGCAAAAGGTTGTTTTAATGTTGCAAAACCCCCTAATTGATCATCTCGACATCGAGATGTATGAATATGAAAAAAAAAAAAGATTTTGAGTCCAAGAAATAGTACATCTTGCAACATATTATTTAGACCTTCCATTTTCAAGATTTTCATATGTTTAGAGATCTACTTGATTTTAACCGTATTTGGAGTTTAAAATTTTATAATCAGATACGAAAATAGATCTGAAGATAATCCTAAGAATGTTTTATACCAAAATTACATGTTATGATAAAATTTGGAAGTACACTTTAATCGGATTGTTTAAAGTTGCAACTTTATAGAAATTACATCATTTATCTTTTGTACATAGAGGTCACAATCATTTTCACTAATTAGATGTCAAATTGTATGGCTTGAGATGAATCACGAAGTTCAAGCTTTTTTAAAAAAAAACTGTGTCTATTCAATGACACTTCTACAATCACCCATTTTGAAATTTAAGCTTTATTGCTTTTTATTTCAAAGTGTTAAATGAATGTGAGGCACTCAAATACAAACCAAAAACTTGGTATTTAAACCTCTTTGATAATTCATTACAATATGTAACGGGGCAAGCTTTCTATGTTTCTCCTACAATATAAAACTTATATACTTCCCCTTATGCAACCGTCCATTCACAATGTCACATCTCTACACTATTTTATTTTTAATTTTTTTCTCAAATTTTGGACATCCAATCCTCTATTAAACTTGTACTAGCGAAAAATATAAAAAATATATTTTTAATAAAATAAAATAACCAAAATACCCCTAAAAGTTTCGAATGATATTTTGGTTATTATATTTTATCGAAAAATTATTTTTAATATTT